TAGTCTCCTTTCTTCATTTTCTCAGGCAGGATAACCTCAAGAATGAGCCTGAGGAAATGCCCCCAGGAGAATGAGGTCGGTTCAGTGGGACACACATAGGGCTCTTTCCCAAAGGGTGGCAGAAACCACCAAAAATTGGAGAGGAAGAGCCAATGAGGAGGGCCTGGCTGCCACCACCTTGCAGGCAGGCCACAGTGAATCAGGGCCCAACTTTGGTCTTGCTAAGGACATCTACCTAAGGAGAAGCGCTTTTTCTAACTGGTTTGCCACAGGGATCACTTTACAAAAAATGTATATAAAGCATGGACGGACTCTCCATGCCTGCCACAAAATAATGTGTAAAGCTGAAGACATGCAACCCCGATCCTGAGTCCCTAACCAGTTGCCTGCTTGTGTCAGAGTGGAAATGTACTCCAAAGGGCTTTCCAGGTTGAATTTTTCAAAGTAGATTGCCAGGCCTTTCTTCCACAGTACTTCTGTGTGAACTTGAACCCCGACCTTTTAGTTAGTTCTTGTTGTTATGTGCTGTCAAGTTGGAACAAACTCATAGCTGACCCTCCACAGAGTTTTCAGAGGCTATAAATTGCATGAAAGGAGATTGCTCAACTTTCTCACAGGAAGCAATTGGTAGACTTGAACTATCTGCCTTTGGTTTGGCAGTGCAACTCCCTACCATTCTTTTTTTGTGACGTGCCTTTGGGTTGAGTATGATGCATAGTGACCCTAAGAACAGCTAACCTGAACCCTGCTCTGTCCTGTGCCATCCCTGACACACTAGAGCCCACTGCTGAAGTCACTGTGTCAATCCATCTCATTGGGGGGTCTTCCTCTCCATTGCTGACCCTCCATCTTTCCAAGCATGATGTCCCTTTTCAAGGAACAGCCTGACCTACATGTCCAAAGTGTAAGAGATGAAGCTTCACCATCTTTGTCTCCAAGGAGCACTCTGACCTTTTCCCAAGACATGCTTAGCCACCAGAATTCCCTTTTGGTTAGTAGTTGAGCTTTAGTAGTTTCCACCACCCCAGGATTCCACCTTGGCCCCCTAGTGTGCAAGCAATGCACCTGTGTGGCTCTGATCACTTGCACTCCTTTGTTTACTTCTTCCATCTTCCGGCTTCTCCATTGATTTCCTCCTCTTTGCTGGTGGGTAGGATCTGAACAGCAGTGATGATTGTAGGCATGAGCACACAAAAGCATTCGCCTTTCCAGGCATGTCACATGCTTTCCCGCTCCTGTACAGGCTACTCCGTTGGCCTGGAATGCCATTGCCTTGTCCACCTGGGAACTACCTGCTTTTTCCTTGAAGAAAGGGCATGAAAATCCTTCTCAGAGTGCAAGGTGACCTTCAGTTTCCCCCCACCTGGTCAGGTTGAGTTGGGGACTCAGCTGTGAACACTCAAGGCACCTGGTTTCTAGTAGGGATCACAGATATAGCGACACAAATGCAGAAAGGGATTTAAAATCCTGGTATAATGAGAAGAGCCTTGGCATTCTGCTCTATAATTTGTTGTTGTTATGTGCCATTGAGTCAGAACCAATAGCGGACCCTCCAGCAGGTTTGCAGAGGCCACAAATCACATCAGAGAGTTCCCATCTTTCTCCTGCAGAGCAGCTAGTAGATTTGAACCACCTGCCTTTGGATTGGCAGTGCAACTCCTTATCCACTACACCATTAGATCTTGATTTTACAAGATCTTCTGTCTCCTACAAAGACTTCTTTCTAAAAACCCACTAAATAGATAAATAGACAGGCAGACAGATATGGAGAAGCAATTGAGCCAGTATGTATTTTTATACAAACTTTGTAAACATTTTTCTCAGAGGGTAAAACAGGAAAGTCATGCACTCACACATCCTCTGTACGCTTCTCTCCTTTTTGATGCAAAATAGAAAATAAAAGCACATGGGAGTCATCTGAGGAGGTGGGCCTTCTCTCTAATTCAGAAACTAGACGGCCTATATTTACACTTGGCGGGTTCTTGTCTCCCTTTCGAGCATTTTATCTGAGACTGGACGAGGAAGAGGTGTGTGGTAATAATGTAATTAATAACCAGGAGCAATAAATGCTGCCCACACAGTGACAACTTGGCCCAGGGCTTCCTGCCATCTTGTCTCCAAGGCACATGTGAGGCCAGTCCACCCTGATGCCTCCACACCCAAAAGTGGATGAAATGAGTTTTGATGCTGTGAACATTTGGGGCCAGAGCACCAAGCAAAACTTCCCCAGGGTCTCCCACAGGATCCTCGCAAAGGGCCCAACCCGGATGGGCAAAAAAACCCCCATGTCATACCAATTCCACTTCCCACTTATGGTGACCCCAAAATGTGTCCAGACACCGTCCACTGACCCAGGTGGTGGCCAATGTCTCCCCTTGTTGAGAAACATCATCTATCTAGAGATTAATGGCATGGATTCTGGAATTGCACTGCCCAGCTTCCAGCCATGAAGATTGCAGGCTGCATGAGAACAGATGTAGCAATTAACACAAACACAAGTGACTGTATGATTTCTTTTCCGAGCCAAGGCGGGTATGAGAGTGAAAGGAATTGCCATGGGATGGAGTTGCCATGTTCATGGAGATGATCTCAGCAGCCATGCACAGTGCTGAGTGTAGAGTGTAGGGTTTGCTTGATGACTATTCTAAGTGCTTCCCATCCTTGAAGTGCACTTTATCTTCTGCAACTCTGAGATCAGTGTCACTATTATCTCCTTTTCATACGCAGGTGGACTGAAACAACAGAAAGCTATGCTGACTTGCCAAAGGAAGTCACACAGCAAGTTGTAGAACCTGCGGGTCCACGTCCCTCAGGTGCCCCAGCGAAACATCACAGCACTCAACCTTTTTCATGTTCTCAGTAAAACACTAGCTCTAGCTAGATCACTGTTTCAACATTAGACTCATGACATCAACTCTTCACGACAGGTTGCTTTGATCAAAAACAACTACAGGAAAAGCAGCGTACAGCAGGAAAGGCAGGCAGTGACGTCCAGCCTAACTCCCATTTAACAAAGCTGTGCAGAGCTCAATAAGTGCATGTGTTCCATTAAGAGGCAGCTGTGGTAATTGATGAAGGAAACAAGCACACACTTTTCCAGTTTGTGTGCATTGGTTTTCCAGACGGCTGTTAAGTTGCGAGGGCATAACATCTTGCTGAGTTGTGTGGACCCAGTTACTCAATACATGGAACAGTTAGGTATTTCTTGTGACAGTACAAGGGTGCCCTGAGGTGATGCAAATGGAAAAAATCCAAGAAGTAATGATGATGGAGGAGATCTTTCAGCCCAGAGACCTGTAATTGTGTAATCTTTCTCTCTTGCTTTCCATTTATGCTCAATTATCTTTTCCCTCACCTAAGAAAATCTTCTGATCCCAGATAGTTGCTAGATACTGGCTTTCTGTGCTTGCCTGAACTCCCTTTACACCAGTCTCTTGCCTTTCTGGTCTCCAAGTAGGAAAGCAAAGAGATTCTGTTTTTCAGTTTGAGCCTAGACAGCTTTCCCGTGAGGCTCCCACTGGTGCACCTTAGGTCAGGGGTCACACTGTCCACTTGTCCCTGTGTGATACAGTGACAAATGCAACCTCATCCCTGGGCAGCACCTCAGACTGGCATGTCCAATGCTTAAGTAATCAAAATGCAGAGAGAGAATGACAACACAGGATAGGTAATTGGGAGAGGCCCCCATAGCCCCACAAAGGGGAGAGAGGTGAAGGTGTGTGTGTGGGGGTGGTAGGGAGGGGACTTTTCAGAGAAAAGGCCAGTGCATGTCAAGCCAGAAGCACACTTCCTAAGAAACTCTTAACTTCCTAATTCACTATTACAGAAAACTAGAAGTGATAGTGTGGTTAAAGTGTGTGGGCAGTGACAAGTGACCTGGTTTCTATTACTAATTAGAAACCATGTTAGACAAGTCCCTTCTTGCTGGGACTCAGTTTCCCCATCTGTAACAAGATTGAATCACCCCAGTGCTTCTCAAATCCAAGTGCCAAAGAGTCATACTCCAGAATATGCATTTGAAAACCCTGGAATGATTATCTTCTTGGGATTTTAAATTTCTTCAAGATTTGGGAGAAACTCCACCTTTGCCAGAAAGGATTTTTACGTCATGGCTCAGAATGCAAATTTTGAACACATTAATCCACTCATTGGCGTCAATTCAGAACTGCCTCATAGCTGATCCTCCACTGGGTTTCTGAGGCTGCAAATATCACTGGAGGAGCCTGCCCATTTTTCTCCTATGGAGAGACTGGTAGATTCGAACTTCCAAAGAAGTGTGGTTTTGGGGTTAGCAGAGTAATTCTCTAGGGAATTTATCATTGTCCAGTCTTGTACTAAATTCTCACACGAGCCTCACAATAACCCCAAGGAGGATAATTGTTTCTATTTTACAGATTAAAACCCGGTGCAGCTGGAGAACAAATAGTGCACCTATTACACTATTATTGATAAAAAGAAGATTAAAAAGGGTTGGGAGGAGAGGAACCCGGGCTCACTGCAAGGTATTTAGGGTCGCCCCCCACCCCCCGTAGCTATTCGTTGGTAAAATCTAAGGAGCACAGGCTTAAATTACCTTCAAAGTCCAGGTTGGATATTCCTACGTCGAATTTGGATAAATGGATATATTCGGATAAATGGGTGTATTGGTATTTCCTAGATAGAATTTGGATAAATGGCTTCGCAGACAGGTGCTCCAAAGACGAAGATGGAGGCTGAGGCCTGCCTGCAAGGGTCTGGGGGCACACTGGGTGGGATTTGGGCTCTTCCCAAAACCCAGCTCTTGGGCCTCTGGCCTCCGCCTCCGTGTCCCGCCCAGTTAGGGTGTTTCCAATTGGCGTCGCCAGGCACTTCCTCGTTCCCCACGCCTCGGTGGCGTTTCTCTGGCCGGGAGGTGGCCCGAGGGGAGATGTCACAACCGCCTCCCTCTTTCCCCGCCTTGGCGTTCAGTCGCTCCCAGATGTGTGCGCTTGCAGACGGCTGCGGGCGGCCGGGCGCCGGGCATGTTGTCCCTTGAGTGCGCGCTGGCAGCGGGCGCGGGGCCCCAGAGCAGCCTGAAGCAAGCCAATCTCACCCGCTTCCCCTTTTTCTCCGACGTCAAGGGGGACCACCGGCTGGTGCTGAGCGTCGTGGAGACAGTGGTGCTGGCGCTCATCTTTGCCGTCTCGCTGCTGGGCAACGTGTGCGCCCTGGTGCTGGTGGCGCGCCAACGGCGCCGCAGCAGCACCACCACCAGCCTGGTCCTCAATCTCTTCTGCGCCGACCTGCTCTTCACCAGCGCCATCCCGCCGGTGCTGGCCGTGCGCTGGACCGAAGCCTGGCTGCTGGGCCCGGCCGCCTGCCACCTGCTCTTCTACGTGATGAGCCTAAGCGGCAGCGTCACCATCCTCACGCTGGCCGCCGTCAGCCTGGAGCGCATGGTGTGCATCGTGCGGCTGCGGCGCGGCGCGCGGGGCCAGGGCTGCCGGGCGCAGGCCGCGCTGCTTGCGCTCATCTGGGGCTACTCGGCGCTCGCCGCGCTCCCGCTCTGCGCCTTCTTCCGAGTCCTCCCCCAGCAGCTCCCCGGCGCCGAAGAGGTGAGGCCGGGCCCTGAGCGCTCGGGACCCCGGGGCGGCCTAGAGGGCGGGGATCTGTGGACAGACGCCACCAAGCTGGGCTGACTGAAGACAACAAAAAAAGCGCCACCGGCTGTTTGTTGCACTATGTTCTTTACACTGTCAAGTTTTACCGCTTAAATCTGCCACGTATGCCTGCTGCTCACCTTCCACAACTCTGTTATTGTTAGTTGCCATTGAGTCAAGTACCACTCATAGCAACCCTAGAACAGCCGACCTGAACCCTGCCCTGTCCAATGCCATCCTCATCATCTCTGACACATTTGAGCCCATCGCTGAAGCTGTAAATGGATGCCCCCTCCCAACATCAGTTCCTGTAAAATGCAAGCGCTATTTATTGCGAGTTTAGTGAAATAGCCCATGATCCTGAATGTATATGGCTCATCACATTATGTCTACTTCTGCTTTGTTCCTGGCATAACTGCACTGCTATCACCATGCCTGCTTACACATATGAGGAAACTGAGGCACAGAAGAAGGTATCATGCTCAAGGGCCGACTCATCCTTAGTGGAAGAAGTGAGGCTCCTTTGAAGGGGTGCGGGTGGGTGCTTGAGTCAGGAGAGCAGACAAGGAACTGAGACTGGAAACCCAGGCTCGGGAGTGTCTCTTGGGGGCTGATGACGTCCTTGAGGCCTCTGATATTTTCCCAATAGCAAGATGAAGAAATTGAACCAAACTGCAAAGTTTTGTCCTGAGAACCTGGGATGGATAGCTATCTTCCAGGAATCCAATGCCCAAAATGTCACCCACCATCCAAAATAGCATAAGGTTAGGCCAGTGAACTTTATTCTGGGTAGCCAGCCCATGATTGTCATTTGGATCCTAGAAGTGGTCTATGGACTTAGAAAGTTTCTGCGAATCCCTGGTTCAGGTCTGACCAGGCAGGGCTCCCCCACAGTCTGGTTCTCTTTGTGGCCTTGTTCGGTGGTGGTGTGATGGTAGAGTTTGCTGCCTGAGAAGACAGGGAATCTGCCATCCATGCTGCTGCTAGGTCCTTGGTGGCTCCCAGGTGAGAGGGAGGGAAGGGACTTAGGTCAGTCTGCAGGCGGAGAGCAGAAAGACCCAGGACCAGCTCTGAGTGAGTCTCTGACTCTCAAGGACTGCATTTTTAGCCCCTCTTTCTTTCCTATGTTGCCATGGGGTTAAGCATCTTTGAGAAATCCATCCACAAACGGCAGTGTTTGCTTCTACCCAGAGACCCTAGTGGAAGCAGATTGCCCGGTCCTTCCCACATGGAACCGTGGGGTAGGTGTGAACCTCCGATCTTTCTGTTAGCAGCCGAGTGCTTAAACCATTGCCCCATCATGGCTCCCTCAGTCCTACTTCACTGGCTAATAATACTGAGAAATGAGGTTCTTGTCACCTCTTGGCTAGAAGCCCAGATTAAAATGGTTTGTTGACGGACCCAGGTGGCTGTTTGAACAGAAGGCCTTCCTTGAACAGAGGAGACACCTGCAATCCTCCAACATCTGCAGTTCACTCTCTCAACTGCTTTGTGGTGTGGCCAGAGACGTAGCTGACAGGGGCTATCGCCGAGGACTATTGGTGGAGGATTTGCTTTGGTAACCTTCAGCACACTGACTTTTTGCTTTAAACACTTTCTTGCTTATATGAGCCTTTGGAGAAGAGATGTGACAGGGAGGGAATGGGAAGGGAGGGGAGAGAAGGAGAGGGGAGGGGAAGAGAAGGGAGGGGAGGGGAGCGAAGGGGAGGAGATATCTCAGATGCACCTGTACAGGGCTTTGCAAGGCTGGACCTAGGTGAGTTGGTGCAGAAGCTTCACTCACAGAAGTTCTAAAAGGCAGGGTTGTTGTTATGTGCCATCAAGTGGGAACCCACTCTTAGCTGATCTCGCAGTGAGTTTTCAGAGGTTGCAAGTTGCAGGAAAGGAGAATGCCCATTTTTCTTCCAGGGAGCAGCTGGTGGGTTTTAACCACGTGCCTTTGGATTAGCAGTGCGACTCCTTGCCCACTAGGCTGCCAGAGCTCCCCGAAAGGCAGGGAAGGGGAGCTTGTTATGAAAATGGGCAGATCTTTTCTGGCTCTCTAACCTTCTTGTCTCTTTCCTATCTACATGTCCCTCTCCTCCCCGAGTAAACCAACCAAGAGAAAAACGCCCCAGTTCCTCAAGAGATGGTGCCTGAGCAGGAAGAAAACACCCCAGTCTACAGGGGAAAAAATAGAAATGGAGAGATTGAAAAGAATACATTAAAAAGAAGGGCGCAAGAACAAAAGCAGTGTGGCGATTTAAAGAAAGGAGCAGAGAAAGGTCTGGTCCAGACGGAACCAAGTCTCGTAGTTAAAATTGGCAAAGGGCTGTTGTCTCAGTCTTCGCACGCCTGCCTTCCTGGCCATGGCTGCTGCCACCTCCCTCCCATTTCGACACTGTATTTGAGGATTGTGAACTGGGGACACTTTCCTCTCCAGACCACATCCTGAGAGACCTAGTGTCCTCCCTCTGTGCACAGAGGGTCTCCCTGCCCACAGGAGGGGGTGCTGGTCAAGGTGACAGTGTTTTTTACAGCTTTCTACTTCTCTAAGAATAAATATCCCCCTGTCAAAAGAAAAATCCAGAGCACAATTACCTTTGCTCATTAGGGTTACAGGTGCCCAACAGTCTAGGGTGATTAAAAACCCGCTATCATAGAGTTGGTTTGAACTCAACAACTGTCCATCAGGTGCCTGAGTCTTGTAAATCTTACCGGGAATAAGCTGGCCATGTTCCTCCCTTGGAGCTCCTGGTGGATTCAAAGCGCTGGAGATGTGGCCCTTTGGTTAATAGTGAAGCACACTATAGACATGTCACCAGAGCGTGATTGTTGTTGTTATTGGAATGTGCCCTCAAGTCAGAACCAACTCATAGTTGACTCTGCCATCAGGTTTTCAGAGGCTGTATATCACATGGGAGGGGATTGCCCATCGTTCACAGAGCAGCTGGTGGATTTGAACCACGTGACTTTGAGAGCCTAATTATTGTTGTTGTTGTTATTGGATGGCGTCAAGTCAGAACCAACGCATAGCTGACTCTCCAGTGGCTTTTCCGAGACAGTAAATTGCATGGAGGAGATTGTCCATCTTTCTTCATCAGAGCAGCTGATGGATTCGAACTGCGTGCCTTTGGGATTGCAGTACAATGATTTTGCTGGACAATTTGGTATGTGGAATATGAGTTTTAAAGTCAGATGTTCTGAGCACAAACCTCATTTCTGCCAGTTGGGAGCAGTGTGGTAGATTAAGCTTCCCCAGTGTCCTCAGCCTCTGTCCCCTCTTACAGAATGGGTGTGAGAACTGTATCACCCTGATGGGACTTTCATGAGGTTGAATGTGCAATAAACGGGCCAGCACCAGGCATGCACAGAGTTAAGTGCTCCGGCATTGCTAGCTATTATTAGTTTCCTTATCATTGGTTATAAACATGTTAAACATTCTTCAAACAGTGTAATTTCTCTGATTGCTGTAAAGTAATAGGCTGCCATTTTAAGGGAACGGACACATCCTAGCAACACTGACTTCTCAGCCAGATCAGGGCATCCTATGCCAACGGGATTCCTGCCTGTGTGTGCCGTGACCTTGGAGGGCATCGACCCTCCTGTGGGAGGAGAACACTGTCCATCTGGCCAGAAGCTGCTGCCGCCGCCCATTCATATCACAAGCGGTTGCTGAACGTCTCCCCGGCCCCCACCCATGGCACACCGGGGCCAGCCACTGGGTGGTGAACGGTCACGTGACCACAATGTCTTTCCAAGTGCTTTTATTGAGCCCCTAGAAGGTCTCAGAGAGATCCTGACTCACTTCAGTCCTCACAATCACTCTAGGAGATGCCCTTGTGTTTATTTTCTGGAGCAGGAAGTGTCTAAAGTCACACTTTGAGCAAAGGATGGGTCTGCAATTTGGCCGGAGTCTGTCTCGTTCCTTCCTGTGGCAAAACCCATGAGCTCACACTTCCTCAGGAGCACCTGGCCCCACTGCCCTGCCCTGACTCAACACTGGCCAATAGTACTATCGCATCTGTATTGAGTGTGGATTGTCTAAGGAGGCAAACACAGCTCACTTGCAGTGCTAATAGGAGAAAACAGGGGGTGGGAGGTGTGTGAGGAATTCATTGCCATTAAGTCTGAACTGACTCATAGCTGACTCTCCAGTGGGATTTCAGAGTCTGCAAATTGTAAGGGAGGAGATTGTCCCTCTTTCTTCCTCAGAGTCACTGGTGGAGTCAAACTACAAGAGAGACTGCATTTGAGTCAGCAGCACAAGAAAATGCATTGGCTTCAAGCCAGAACCAACTCACAGCTGACACTCCCGTGGGTTTCTGAGGCTGTAGACTGCACAGAAGGAGACTGTCCAGTCTTTCTCCCTCTCAGCAGGAACTCCCCCAGCCGAGGCCACCAGAGCTCCCTGAAACGTGGGGAAGCAAGTTCGTTTCTTGGGTCCACACTTCATGTCTCTCTTACTGTTAGAAAACTGCTCCCAATTGTCATCAGACTGATTGAAGCTCATGGTGACCCCACATTCATCAATGCAGAATCGCGCTCGCTCCGTAGGGCTGTCAAGGGCCCATCTTTCAAAGGCAAATTGCCAGGCCTTTCTTTTAAGGTGACTTTGGACAGGTTTGAACCCCAGCTCCTGTAGCTGCCAGCTGAGTGCCTGAGCCATTCACACCACCCCAGGCAGCAAAGGAGTTGAACAACTAGGATTCTTGATGTTCTAAGATGACCTGGAAGTCTTGGGCTAGGGGCTGACTGGGGAGGTGGAGAGGGAGGACAATTTATGAAGGGGTTCCTGGAGGTCCATCTGGAAGATTCATTAGAGAAGGTAAAGTAAAAGAACTTGAATCAGGTGGCTGTTTACAAATTAGCCACCAGTGTGGGGTGATAGCTGTTTCCATCTACAAATGAAGTCTTCTAGAAAATTCTTTTGTTTAGCTTTTGTTTGTTTTTCACTGAGCACCTAATATATGCCA